ATATGCGCTGTTGAGCGCTGGTGACTTGGACTCTTATCGCTCTTGTAATAACTTGTTGGAATTCACAAGCTGTGTTACCTGGTCTTAATCTCTCTGGTCTTCAGTGTGAACTTCGTGTGTCATATATGCATGAGGTGTGAATATGTGCGCTCACTGGTGTTGAATCATTGAGGTTCATTGCACATCTGTCAGATGAACAGAATAATATAATTTTGAATTACCTGGGGCCGGTCAGTTCAATCATCAATGATGATATACCAAGGCCGTCGCCCTTAATGGGGAAAAAAAAAACAAACAAAGTAGACTTCCACTTGGTTCCTTCCCTCTTCCATCTTCATGTTGATTCTGGTTGTGCAAGGAATATGAGTGTGAAGTTGTGAATGATATACAGAAAACCAATGTTGCGAAATCACACAGATGTCCAGGTAGTCGTATCCAAGCAGAGAGTACAAAGTGCACCGAGAAACCATCCATATAGAGCAATGCAATGAAATAATGAGCCAATGTTCTAGCCTGTAGGCCACACCAACACAGTATCCAAAGTTGCTCCTCTGTCTGGCGCCCAGCGCCCAACCTACTCTGCCCGACTATCCTACCTACAGCTGGTTCACACAACAGGCTCACTTCGACTCTCGAAGACCAATGTACATGACTGCCAACTCCATAGCCGACCTCTCTTTATGCATCAGGTACGTATCTCGTCACCCTCAATCAGACCTTGATTACCCCACACTGCTCCTCCTCCCCTGAAGACCACCAGATCGCCCACTGTAACCCCCTGGTGCCCAGCAGCCCGGCTATGGCTGCCTGCGGCCCGCTGCCCTGCAGCGCCCCACCTCACCACTATGCACCCCGTCAGCGCCCTTGGGAGCAGCGCAGCATCAAGCAGAAACGCAGCAGCACTTCCACATTGCCAGCACTGGCCAGAATGCCTGGCCTGGGCTGCCTCACTTCTTTTATGGAAGTGCCAGCCTCCTGGATGCTGCGTGTGGCCTGGCTGGAAGCTTCCAGTAGCTTCCGGTTGGGCTTCAGACGCTGTGCCCAGGCCCGAGACTACAGTTGAGGGCCTGGGCCCTTTTCAGTTGGGCACGGCCTGAGTCTCCGGACTTGGGCTGTTTGCTGCATCTGTGGAGGGCTCCCCGACAGGTGCGTCGACAGTACTGCTTTTCCAAAGGCCGATGGCCCGCTTCCCAATGTATCGGCCCTGCTTTGTGTGTATGTGCCCAGGTGCAACTGTCAAGGCCTGGGCCAACTGTATGACACAGCTTAGTGAGGCTCACGCGTCTACCCAACCAACTGGCGTGCTGCGAGAGCCTGAATACCCACATATGGAAATGTCGAATTTTCGCCTCTGACGAATAATCAGGCCCGCCTTCACTGAGGGCGGGCACTCGGCTTGCTGGGGGCCTTAGCCCAGAACATGTGATGTCTGATAGGGCCCCTTGAGGGCTTGTTCCTCACAGTTGTTAGACTCAGACTATTTATTTATTTATTATTTAACAAAAACTCAGACTACCACTTCTTTCATCGACAGGTGCCTCTTCCAGAATCTTCAACCCTTCTCTTTGACATACCAGCAGGGCTCGAAGAGCGTGCTGTTGATGGTCAGCAGTCCATGGGAGGATAATGTCATTGGTCATGGACCTTGTTCCACTACTCAACATGGGACAGGTATCTGGACAGTATATGGACCCAATTCTTCCATACCGATCGATTATTTTAGAATGTATTGGGACAATTACCACTTCTAGATATCTTTAGAATGCTCTGCAGTGTAGCAAGGCCGCATGTCCCTTCATGACCATGGCGGCATTACCCTGAGTCTCCAGATCTGTCTTGAGGCGAACTGGTGTACAGGATGATTGTGGCATGATATCCTGTCCGTTGAACTGGGACGCTACAGGCGGGATCATCCCGCAACTGTGTTTCTAAAGATACCCCATGCGTCCTTCAGGACATCCTTTAAAATTGGAACAAAAAAATACAGAGAAGATTAGCATGGCCCCTGCACAAGGATGACACACATAAACTGAGAAATGGTCCAAATTAAAAAAAAAGAAGAAGAAGAAAAAAGATTCCTCATGCAAATGTAGTATACCGAGGACAACCTGGGCCTAGTGGCTGAAACGTTGTGGCGGTGTTTGATGTGCACCCCCACGATCACACAATTGTTAGGGGGAGTACGATTCGGATTTTGTCTGGCATCCATCTGATTTTTGTCGCAGAGGACCAGAAGCAGGAGCCAAGCAAAGCGCGTGCAGAGGGCCCACCGATCTCTACCACCACCGTCTGAATTTGGAATTTTCAATTTTCAATTTTGTATGGCGCTCAAGCCCAGCGCACTACGCAACTCAGTAGTTCGTGGAGAGCTGGTAGGCTTTTCACACTTTGGAACCGGAACCGGTCGTAGGGCTGGGGCCCAAGCATGTGGGTCGGAGAGGTCCTCCCCGCCTTGCCACTTCAAAGCTGTGCTTATGCTGGCGGCCAGCATGCCATGCTGCCGATCCTCCAAGAAAACAAAGAAAATGAAGATGTTATCGAGCCATCCGATCGCTAATGATCCAAGGCACATGTTTCAAGTTGCAATTTAATGCTGAGTAGGTACCAACCCGGATGAAGCCCAGTGTAACGAGTGGGAGGCTGAGGGAGACAGGGAGAGCCGAGGGAGAGGAGAGAGGGAGAGCGTGAGAGCACACACACACACTCACTCACTCGACACGACTGAGGGTCGGACGCAGACACACGGGCAAGGACACAAAGTCGAAGTCTTGGATTCAGAATGCCCAACAGGAGCAAGTCACACTGAGTACGAGTACAGCAGCAGAAAACTGGTACGAGACTGGTCCCCGTACCGTACGGGGAGCCGGTATAAGTACCGGTGACACGTACGGTACCAGGGGCATTTCTGCAAAGGCCCCGAGGGCAGAACTGAAAAATGCAGTATTTGAAAGTGGCGTCCGAATTGCAGCATGGCGGCAGTTGTCCAAAATCCTACGGTACCAAAGAAGGGGTTTGAAAAAAGGGTGCCAGGCCGAAAACGGGATGCAGCCGAACAGCAAAAGATAGACCAGGGATCGAGCCCTGGCGAAGTCCGTAACTCCCAGCCCACAAGCATATCGTGAGATCAACCTGAAGCCCGCCCGTGGGAATCATATATATATATGCCTAACACCCAACCACTACCGCAACTCAACGTTGTGTGCAGAGAGCGGGGTCTACCTGAGTCCACGAGGAACGATTTGGATCATATTCAATTATTTCTACCTTACCCGTCAACGAAGTGTTACGTTGAAAGTTAATTCTTTGCTGCGGGAGCCTCTTATGGAAAAGGGTGATACGGCCTGTGGAATTTTGTCCAGCAGACACCTTTTTGACTGAGGATCGTACAATCTAGGTATGGACTCCCATGGGTGGACCATGAGCCCGGGAAACAACTGTGGTACCCAAACACACTCAGTCTCTTCCACAGACCAGCCCATACGAGCTAGGTGGCGCACACAAACAGGCCCGCATACCCTACACAAAGTCCTATCTACCCATCCCCCCCTCCCCCCTATCTACCCAATACGACCTGTGGAATTTCGTCCAGCAGATGCCTCTTTTGACTCAGGATCGTACAATCTAGGTATGGACTCCCGTGGGTGGACCATGAGCCCGGGAAACAACTGTGTTACCCAAATGCACTGTCTCTTCCACAGAGCAGCCCGTACGAGTGAGGCGGCGCACACAAACAGGCCCACATACGCTACACAAAGTCCTATCTACCCATCCCCCCCTCACACCTATCTATCTACCCAATCCAAGCCTTATTTACCATTCTACACCTCCCCCCCCCCCACCCCCCACCCCAATGGTGAGTACACAAGGTATTACCTAGAGAACATGGGATGATACCCAACACACAACCCACACACAGACACTCGACACTCATCAGATCCCCAAGGGTCAAACCACTCAAACAGCCCTCCCCACAATGCCCGCTACCAGCATACTGCAACCATGGACCTGACCCCTTGGGTGGTGTGCAGGCAGTGGCTGTATAAGTACCATGCGTCAGCCCAAGGGGGGTGTGCGAATGGCTGGGCGCTATGAAAGCGCCTTCCGGCGCACGTGCATGAGGCAGCGGATTTTTGAACCCGCAACCTCATAACCCAATGCGCATTTCCAACCAATGCTCTAACCACTGAGCCACCAGGCCATTCCCACTGAGGGTTCAGTTGGAGCACGAGTCTGGGGAAGGGTTTCTAGGGAAGGGTGTCATCTTAGGCAGGGGAGCGAGGGTTGTCGAACTGAATGTAGAAGGGCGACTTTGCTACCCATAGAGTCTGCAAGATGTGATACAGGTTCGCCTAGCCTGTATCCGGGTCGTCCTCGATGGGGTGTCCCTATGGTAGTGCCGGGGGAGACACGGTCCTCAGAAGGCGCGGGTTGGTGTGGGTCTAGGTCTAGATAGAGAGGTCTGGGTCGCACCGCTATAGGGCTCGACCTCTGATACAATTAGGATATAACAGGTCACGAATGATGCCCTCTGGAGAAAGACTGTCCCCGGGGTTGGCACAAGCCATCTGATCCCCTCAATGGTTGAGTACGACGACAGGCACCTCTCGAGGCCTAGCATCCACCCTCTACTATGACATGGACCTTCAACAAAAAAAGAAGAAGGAAAAAAAAGAACAACAAAAAATGTAAAGGAAACGGAGAAACCATAATCATGATAATTGATGCCTCCTGTGACGCACTGGCCATGCATATGGCAACGCCTGGGAAGGGTTTGCACCACTTGTGTCAGCAAACTTGTACCTGGCCCAGTCGTTTCAATAGTACAAGCGGATGGCCGCTGCAGACGCGGGGACGGTGAGGCAGGGATTATGAGGCAGCAACAAAAAAGAAAAACACCGCAAACATCAAGCACAGTTCGCCCCTTCGCACGGCCATGCAGCACCGAGTGGGTATTCAGTGCCCTGGCTGACGTGGTGGTGTACCTTTCTGTGTTCCAACAGGCCATACCATGCGGAGCGGGTGGCACTGTGGCGTGGGTGATATGGTACGCGGGTGGTGGAACATGGCTGGGTGGCACGAGGGTCGAAAAGCAAAAAGAATAATGTCAGCCCCCCCCCTAAAAAAAGAGCTGAGCCCATATTGCCCAATGGTGCATCCGTGAACCGTCAAGGAGGGGTTGATGACAGTCATGCATCTTCCCTGTGTGGCGGATGGCACAACCCCCCCCCCCCCCCCCACCCACCCACTCACCCATTTCAAACATTTTTATGCATTGAAGGCAAAGGCAGTATATCTTTCCATACCCCTGTTCAAGATTCATTCTCATTTTTCTCGTCTCGCTAGTAGCCGAGAGAGACCTGTAGTCAGGTTCTATGCCCCTGACCAAACGGCAAAAAACTGAAACTGACACGGGGGCACCAAAGACAAGAATATGGCAGTGTATCTTTCCATGTTCTATCTGAAGATACATTCTCGATGTCCTCATTTGATGACTACCGTGGGTTTGCTATGTGGTCCCTTCCTGCAAAACGAGAAAATGTGAAACACGCCCCTCCCCCCCCCCAAAAAAAAAACACAGAATATAAGGCAGTGTCTAGCTTTCCAGCCCGGGCGCACGGGGTATGTGACGAGCGCGAGGCTGAGGGAGACAGGGAGAGCCGAGGGAGAGGAGAGAGAGAGAGAGAGAGAGAGTGAGAGCACACACACACACTCACTCACTCGACACGACTGAGGGTCGGACGCAGACACAGTGGCAAGGACACAAAGTCGAAGTCTTGGATTCCGAATGCCGAACAGGACCAAGTCCCACTGAGTACGAGTACAGCAGCTCAAAACTGGTACCAGACTGGTCCCCGCACCGTACGGGGAGCCGGTATAAGTACTGGTGACACGTACGGTACCAGGGGCATTTCTGCAAAGGCCCCGAGGGCAGAACTGGAAAATGCGGTATTTGAAAGTGTCGCCCGAATTGCAGCATGGTGCCAGTTGTCCAAAATCCTACGGTACCAAAGGACGGGTTTGGAAAAAGGGTGCCAGGCCGAAAACGGGATGCAGCCGAAACAGCAAAAAGATAGATCAGGGATCGAGCCCTGGCGGAGTACGTAACACTATCCCCTCCCTCTAGAAGGCAACGTCCCGGCTGCCAAAAATCATGAAGCAATGCTGAAATCTGTGAAGGACGGGACGGGGCCGATCACTGGTGAGCAAGTCGAAAGGGAAGAGGGGTATAATGTGGGTGGCATGGGCTGCGTGAGTAAGAGGGAACAGGGTTTGGTAACGGTGAACAGAGTTGTCCTACTGATGAACTGGGGGGGTTGCAGGGAACAGGGTAGTCCTACAAATGAACTATATGGACGGCAGGGAGCAGGGTAGTCCTACTGATGAACTAAGGGGACTGCATGGTTTGCTATAGGTTAAGGGGGGACAGAGTTCAGGGAACAGGGGACTTCTATTGAAGTTCTACTGGGTAAGGGAAACAATGGTTAGGGAAACAGGGATCTGCTAATGATGAACTAGGGGTGCGGCAGGGGGAACAAGGTAGTCCTATAGATGGTTGAGAAGGGTGAACAAGTAACAGGGTTTCCTATTGACGATCTACAAGGGAGAGCAGGTAACAGGGTTTCCTATGGATGTTCTACAAGGGTGAACGGGTATTTCAGTGGAAATTCTACAGGGTTATAGGTTGTCAGGGGACGGAAAAACAATAAAAATAAAAATTGTTTGTTGCAAGGTTCAAGGGCACAGTTTGCATGTACAAGGGCTGGGATGTTTGATGGGATGTGGGTACAGAGTCGGAGGTCTGCAATGGGTCACGGGGTCTGGGGGAGGTCTTCAAGTGTCTTGACCGGCAGCAAGAAGGGGTCTTCGGGAGTCTTGAGCAGTCCCAGGTCAGCGGCAGCAATAGGGGTCTTGAAGGAGGTCTTGGTCAGGTTGATGATGGAAGCAAGGCGAACTGCAAGGGTCTTGGTCAGGTCGATGATGGAAGCAAGGCGAACTGCAAAGGTCTTGGTCAGCGGCAAGGGGGGGTCTTCAATGGTCTTCAACAAGGAGAAACAAGATGCTGAGTGTTGATGCGTGGAAAGTCAAGAGGTCCATGTTCGATGGCTGTGGGCACGTCCGGTACATGATCTGCAGTGGAGTCTGATCCGGTAGCAAGGAAGTCGCAGACTGGTACATGGTTCATGTCACAAGTAGCTGCTCCAGAGAGTCTGCGAGGCAGGGTGCAGGCCAGGTGTAGCAGCATGGTGGCCAATCCAGCTGCATAATCTCCATGAACAGCGGTGCAGCAAGCCATTGTCCTCGTGCGCATGCCATTAGATCCTTTATCGCCGGCGTCACGCAGGTCCACAAGCATTGGACAAGATGGACAAGGAAGTGGGGAGGGCGAATGGGGCAGGGCTAGGCAAGGGACAAGGGCAGATCAGACATCAGGAATCAGGGTCAAGGGCAAGGGTGGCTGTGGCAGGGGTGTGTGTAGAACAAGGTGGCGAGGTTGTAGCAGGGTTTAAGCAAGGGTTCAGGGTTTTAGCCAAGGTATAGGCAGGGGGATAGCTAGGATGCAGGGTGGGAACGATCATAGGCACGGACAAGTCTCATGGCATTCTTGAGATTTTCAAGGGGTTCCCATGTTGATTCTTCATCCGGGTAGCCTGTCCACTTGACTTTGTATTCTTTGATTGGTTTCGGGTGATCAGCGACTTGGGTTGTTCTACGGTTGATGATGGATTCCACGGAGAATTCAGGTCCAGTGGGGAGCATGATAGGAGGGGGACGAGGGTGAGGGGGATCAAAGAACTGTGGCGGGGATTCATGGTATTCTTTGAGGTATTCAGCATGGAAGACGGGGTGGACACGGCTCATGTCAGGGGGAAGCTGAAGTTTGTAATTAACGGGGGAGGTTTGTTCAATGATGGGGAAGGGACTGAGCCACTTGTTTGAGAGTTTCTTGGACAAGCCTTCTTCGGGTTCAAAGCGTTTGGCGGAGAGCCAGACCATGGTGATGCTTGTTGGCTTGTTTAGCTTGTTGTTCCTGGGTGTGTTGGATTGACTCGGTTGCTTCTCTTAGGAGACGGTTCATTGTTGCAACCCATTCATTGAGAGAGGGGCAGGCAGAGGATGGGTTGAGTTGAGAGGGGAGCARGAAATCAGAGGGCAMGCGGGGGTGATAGCCAARGTTRAGGTAAAAGGGGGACATGCCAGTGGAAGGGCAAACGACATTGTTGTAGGCAATCTCGGCGGCGGTGAGCAACTGATCCCAATCATGCTGGTGGGGATGACAATATTTCCGCAGGATTCTTTGGAGAGTATCGTTCATCTTCTCGGTTTGTCCGTCGGTCTGTGGGTGGAATGCAGTGTTGTACCTGAGCGAGGTTCCGTACGCATGGAAGAGTTGTTTCCAGAATTGGGAGAGGAAGCGGGGGTCACGATCACTGATGATATTCTTGGGAAGCCCGTGGTGTCGGGCGACATGGTCGAAGAAGAGAATGGCAATGTCTTTGGCATTGTGTGAGGTCGTACAAGGAATGAAATGAGCACGTTTGGTCAGGCGGCAAACAATGACGTAGATGCAATCATGCCCGTGGTCAGTCTTGGGAAGACCCCACACGAAGTCCATGGAAACGGACTGCCATCGGTGCGTGGGGATGAGCAATGATTGGAGCTTACCGGGTTTGGCCCGGTTCAAGGGGTTGACAGCCTGACATGTGGGGCACGAGCGGATGTAGGCTTTGACGTCGGCAGGGATAGAAGGCCAATGGAAATATCGGGAGATGGTGTCAAAGGTTTTCTGGAAACCAAGGTGGCCAGCGGTCTTGGCGTCGTGGTGCTCCGCCAAGAGCTGGGTGCGGAGGCCATGGGCGTCAGGGATGCAGAGTCGGCGAGTGCCTTTGGTCTCGGTGTAAAGGAGGTTGTCATGTAGGGAGTAGTCGGGGACGGGGTCGAGGTCGCGGAGTTTGTTGTAGATGGTGGAGAAGTCGGGACAAGAGAGGTATCCTTAGGTGTAGCGATGGCGGAGCGATGGCAGGAGCTGGATGTGGGTCATGGCGGCATAGACTTTCTCGGGGGGTTTGTGATCGGGGCAGCGGGAGAGGGCATCGACAACGCGGTTGCTCTTGCCAGGGGTGTGACAAATGGTAAAGGTAAATTGGGCAAGGAAGTCTAGCTAGCGGGCTTGGCGCGGGGTGATGTCTTTCTTGGTCAAGATGGAGGAGACGACGGTGCTATCGGTACGGATGGTGAAGTATTGCCCGTCGAGTTACGGGCGCCAGACTTTGAGGGCGTAGACCACAGCGAGGAGCTCCTTCTCGTTGGATGGGTAGTTCATTTCTGCGGGAAGGAGTTTCTTGCGGGCGAATGCGATGGGTTGCTCGTCGGGTGGGCATTCGGAGTGAGTGGGGGAGTCCTTGATGGAGGGGGTTTCCGCGGGGTCGGGGAGAAAGTGTTGGGATAAGACGGCCCCGATGGCAAAGTCGGAGGCATCCGTGGTGACGAAGAAGTGGCGAGTGGGGTCGGCGATTTTGAGGACAGGGGCAGTGGTGATGAGCTCCTTGAGTTTGTCGAAGGCGGCTTGGCAGCGGTCTGTCCAAGCGAAGGGTTCGGTGGCACGGGTGAGCTCATGGAGAGGGTAGGAAACATCGGAAAAGTTGCGGATGAAGGGGCGGTAGTAGTTGGCGAGTCCCGTGAAGGAGCGAAGTTGGGTTAAAGTGGTGGGAGGGGGGAACTCGACGAGGGCAGAGACCTTTTTGGGGTCCATGCGGATGCCGTCGGTGGAGACAATGTGACCAAGGTATTCTACGCAAGAGGCAACAAATGTGCATTTGCTGAGCTTAGCGTAGAATTTCTGGTCGCGGAGGATGGCGAGAACTTGGCGAAGATGATCAAGGTGGGACTCGAAGGTGGGGCTAAAAACAAGGATGTCGTCGAGGTAGATCACAACACAGACTTCGAGGAGGTCGTGGAAGATGTGGTTCATGGTGGATTGGAATGTGGCGGGGGCGTTGGTGAGACCGAAAGGCATTACAAGAAAACTCGTAGTGCTCGAAGCGGGAGCGGAAGGCGGTTTTGTGGGTGTCCTCCTCGCAGATGCGGATCTGGTGGAAGCCACTGAGGAGGTCGATCTTGGTGAAGTATTTGGCTCCACGGAGGCGATCAAGAAGTTCGGATATCCGGGGAAGCGGATACTTGTTCTTGATTGTGATCCGGTTCAAGGCGCGGTAGTCCGTGCACATGCGGAGCTCCGAGGTGTCGTTCTTCTTGACGAAGAGACAGCTGGTACCGAAGGGGGAGGAGCTAGGCTTAATGAATCCTTTTTCAAGGAGTTCACTGAGCTGGCGCTTCATTTCTTTGGCCTCGGGGACGGAGAGCTGGTATGGGGGGCGGCAAGGGGGGGAGTGGCCGGGCTCGAGATCGATGGTGTGGGAAACACCTCGGTCGGGAGGTAGTCCGGCGGGCAAGGATTCGGGAAACACGTCTTTGAATTTGGATAGGAGGGCGGAGATCTGAGGGTCGGAGGGGGGGTCTTGGTCGGGTTTGTCCGTTCTAAGCAAGTCCTCGGACGGTCGCGGTCAATGACAAGGCAATAGTAGGTGGAGTCGGGGTGCTCATGGGTCATGTGAAGAAATTGGTGAGGAGAGACGGGGGAAGGGGTGGAGGGAGGGAGAAGGTAGGGGATGTCAAGGGTTGGATCGGGAGGGGTGGAGAGGTGGACGAAAGAGGGGTGGAAGGTATAGGGCATGTAGCGTTCGAGCCAAGGAGTCCTGAGTACGATGTCGCACATGAGGTGCGTGACATCGAAGGAGACCTTACTGCGAAGAGGGCCGATAGTCATTGTGGTCTCGGGGACTGTGCGGTCGACGACGATGGCTGAGTCCTTATCCCCTAGGCGGATGGTGATCGGGGAATCATAGCCGGTGGAAGAGAGGCCGACTTTGCGGACACAGACATCCGTGATGAAGTTGCCGGTGGCACCAATGTCGAGAAGGGCTCGGAACTTCACCGTCGATGCTCCAAAGGAGACGGTGACGAACTTGAGCTGGAATTGGGCGGTCCTGACACGAGCGGAGGAGATCATGGCGTTGAGGCGGCGCTGCTCGAGGCCTAATCTAACAAGTCGACTGTGTCGGTCTTGTTCCTCAACGAGATTCGAGAAAGTGATGGTGGAGGGGTTGGGGAGGAGGGTAGTGGAACATATGGCCGTGGGGTGCTCAACCGACGGAATAGAGGACGTCGTCGGGAGGAGGGCAGGCGGAGTAGACTGCGACCCCGGGGGGGTGTCCAGTGTGAAAGTCGTCGCCGGCAGACAAATTGTTGATGCCAGGACATGGCTACAAGGGGCGGGGGGACAGTGTTCAAGTGGAGGAGGGCCCAGAGGCCGCAGTGGAGGAGGAGGAAGTGGATCTGGGAGGGCTGGATCCGGTGGGGCGGGAAGCTTGGTGGGTGGAGCTGCCGGCCTTGGGGCAATTGGTTCGCTGATGCCCCAGCTGGCGGCAACAGAAGCAACTGCCGTTGGCCTGGAGGAAGGCGCGTTCGGCAGGGGTGAGCTTTTTGAGACGAGGGGGTTGGGGGAGGAGGAAGGCTAGGAGGCCAGGCGTTGCCGTTCCATCCTCATGAGATGGACAACCTGGAAGTCTTCCTCGGTGAATTGGGCTGGGTCGAGGGACTCGGGAGAGGAATCAAAGTCGTCGTCGAAAGGGAGTGATGAGTCGTCAGAGGCCATGTTGTGGAAAAACCGGGTGTGGTTGGGGGCGGCTGGTGGTTGAGAGCGGAGGTGAGGAAGGCGATCATGGTGGAGATGGCGGGTAAGGAGATCGGTGAGAGGGAGCTCGGGCTCATGGGCGAGGGCTGCGGTGAGGTGGGGGAAGCATACCCGCTTGATGTGGGAGATGAAGATGTAGTCGGGAATGAGAGTCGACGGGATGTGGAGGCGGAGGGAGCGAACGTAATGGATGAATCGCTTGCTGGGGCCGGTTTGGCGGAGGTTGCAAAATTGATCGATGTAGTCGTCGATGGTCTTTTGCGGATGGAAGGTGGCGATGAGAAGGTTGACCCATTGAAGGAAGGTGATGCGGGGAAGGCCGTTGGCTCGGCGCTTGTTGGCTTCGGTTAACCACCATTGAGTGGCGGCGCCTTGGAGGCGGGAGGTTGCGGTGGGGAGCCAATGAGCGAGGGGCATGTTGTGGAGATCGAAGGCATTTTGAATTTGAGAGAGGAAAAGGAGGACGTCCTCGTGGGGGAGGCTGGAGAACGTCGCGATATCGGTGGCGCGGAAGGAGCGGGGAATGTCCCTGTTGCGGGGGATGATGCAAGCAAGGTTGTTGAAGTTGCGGTCGTCGGGAGAGGTGTCGTAGCAGGTGTGATCCTCACTGCGGTCACCAAGGAGGTAGCAAGGAGGACGTTGGGGTATGGCGGGGTAAACGCCCGAAAGGACTTGGGAGTAAGAGGGGTGGACAGAGGGGATGGTGGAAGTAGTTAGGAGAGGTTGGGTGAGGGGGGAGGAGAGGCAAAGGGGAGTGGTTCGTGTAGTAGTGGAAGCGCTTGTAGTAGGTTGTGAGGAGGCGAGGGAAACGGGAAGGGAAGTGACGGGGGTGGAAGAAGGTGTGGTGGAGGACGGTGAGGGGGTGGTGTTGGAGGATGAGGCCTGGCCGGCTTGGCCGGCGGAGAGGCTTTGGCCAGATTGGCTGGAGGAGGGGGGTTGGCTATTTTGGTCGGAAGAAGATGGTTGGCCGGTTTGGCCGGCGGTGGTGGATTGGATGGAGTGGCCGGAGGAGGAGGGGGTTGATGACGTCGTGACGACGGTGATGGCAGGTGTGTGGTTTCGAGGGAGTTGACGCGATCGGATATGGAGGTCATGGAGGCCTTGATTTTGCGGAGCGAGACAAAGAGTGCTTGAAACATGGAGAGGAGAGATGTGTTCTCCCCGGTGCCTGGCTGGTCGACAAGCTCGCGGTGGATATCCTCAACGAAATCCATGCGGAGCAAGCCCATGTTGATGCTTGAGGTGCCTTCGACCATGGGGAGGGACGAAGGTGGGGCAGAGGGAGAAGATGGAGTGCAGGGGACAACGGAGGTGACAGCAGCGGCAGAGGTGGCAGCAGCGGCGGCAGCAGCGGCGGCGGCAGCAGCGGCGTCGGCGGCAGCGCGTTGGGAGGTCTTGGATTGCGGGGTGGCATGTGGGAGTGGTTTCTAATCCCGATTTAGAAAAATGATGGTTGATTTAAATCGGGGTTAGAGTGCAGGGGACAACGGAGGTGAC